GGGGGGGGGGGGGGCATGCAACATATTAGCAAGCAATGGTAAGCAAACCAAGTAGTACCTAGGAAGTAAGTTTAATTAAAAAAAGGAAAATGAATCAAAATTCCTTCGGTCTTGAAAATTCTTAGCATGAAGAAAGTATTGAAAGGCCAGCTGCTGTTGCCAGTCTATATGTATAACTGTGCACAAAATTAAAAACACAGCTTTGAAAGTGTGGAAGTTATGAAGTATTTCATTAGAACAGTGCTGCAACATTTTCCATTTTTTCTGTTTTAACTAGATAATGAAGTAGTTTCAGAGAGTTTGGTCATTAAATTTCAAGGTTGAACAACCCACAGTATCACTGCAAAATTTCAGTCATAAAGGAAACTGAAGCTAAAAGCCTCTAATACTGGGCTCTCTCAAGTATAAATATAAATAAGTATGTAATGTCTCTTAAAAAGGTAAGACTGTCTACACGCATAGTCTTTGTCGAGTATGTAATGTCTCTCTTAATGTGCGCCGTTCCAACAAGGTTTTTGGGTGATTAGACTAGCAATACTGATAGTACAAAGTTTCTTTAACAAATCTCAAACAGTTTATCAGCCCTTTCCTTTGATATTTGAGGTTTCCTTTAACCACAAATATTTTAGGTGTAAATGCATAAACTTTACTGGGGGAGGGGCAGGCTCTACATCAAGCCTTGCCTAATAAGGACTGCAAGATTAGTACCATCTATAGAGCTGTTTTCCTTTATAAAAAGGACGACTATACTTTTTGGATATGGTTATAAAGTTGGAACTTGTTGGGTATTGCTCTACATGTAATAGAGTTGTACATTTCCATAAAGCTTTTATGCAAATATGTAAGCAAAACATCAGATCTCCAAACATGAAACAGGTCAAATATTTGAATGCTCTGGAAGAATGGTCTTTGAGTCAATATTGTCCTGTCTCAGAGAAGCAGTAAGATGGCAGAGAAAGCCTGAACAAGCCATGTAATATGGTCCCAAAGAAAAAAAAAAGTATCTCAAAGCAAGTTAAAAAAGCAGCAGTTTCACATTTGTCAATTCCTTCTTTGTTGAAGAAAGGTTGAAACATTTTCTTGGTTGGATATGCACTGGTCAAGGATATTTTAGCAGGGGGTTGAGCCAGATGACCTTTGAGGTCTCTTCAAACCCCCATGTTGCTTTAAAAAAAAGCAAAGTAGGACCTTGCACATGCTTGTGAACAAACAGAATTACATTGAAGATCTGATTATCAATTTCTTTTAACAATTAAGGAAGCCTCACATTTTTGCTAGCTGCTCAGATCAAGTGGTTACACTGTTGTCAGGCATGAGTTCCAGCTTCCAAGGAGAACAGCCTACCTTCTGAACCAAGGAGCAAATAAAAAGGTGCTCACTGAACTCAAGCAGCAAGAACGAATTAAAACAACAAGCATACAGCAAGTAGCACCCAGAGTTTCCTAAAAAACTGACTGATAACTTGCATGTGGAGGTGGAACCTTTGCTAGTGATGATTACAAAATACCTGCACTGATTGAGAATCCAGGCTCTGCCACTCCCAATCTGTAATAGAAAGACATCAATACACAGCAATCAACCACCTGATTGCCACAAACTAGGTTTTTCTTTACAGTGGTGGAAGTGAAGTATCATCCAAATAGAAAATTTCTATTAGAGATTAACTGAAGCAAGGAATTGAAGAATTTAAAAAAAAAAAAAAAAAAAAGTTAGCTCCAGTAGGATATCATAACTACACTGGAAATGATCCAACTGAATGTGGAAATGAGCTAGTCAGTGGGCTTAATTAAGACTGGACAATTATTTCAGTTTTCTATCCTGCTTGTAACCTACAAAATCTAGGAGGGGAGATGTTGGGCTGTTTCAGAAAAACAACGTAAAGCTTCACCATATTTTAAAACTTCTCTCTGCTGTTGAACTATCAGACAAATAAGTTCTGCCAGTGAACTTGGACAAAAGAGAGGTTTTCTAGCAGCCAGCTTAAGTGATCTACCAATGCTACTGCCAGACTCCCACCAAGGAAGAAAAAAAAAAAAGCAGCAGCAAGTGATTCCAACTTGATACAAGCCTTTTACATATGGCTTGGAGTCAGACTAGCTGGCCAGGACAGAGCTAAAAGCTAGGAGGAGAGGAAAGAGGAAACCCTTCTGAACTGGAAAGTATGCAGAAAGTTTAAGGCAGTGACATCAGGAGATACCCAAGTTACTGCACCACATGGTAGCTTCCAAGCCAAAAGGCAATAAAATCAACAGTCATATGACAAGGCAGCTAAGCAATTCACTCAGGTACCTCTGCACAGAGCTGCCTTGGACTGTTTACCTGAAGAGGTCCCACAGAGACTTGGGCGAGGACTACTGAGACACTGCTCCATGGTCCATTTGGATGAGACAGGCTGGATTGCCATTTGCAGGAATGAGCAAAGCTTTGCCCCCATAAAGGCCTTCCCATGACATCTCAAGGTCCTTTAGGTGAGAGTCACTTGTCTCCTACAAAGCCTGAAAAGTGTGGCCTTCTTCAAGCATAAGAAAGCAGGGTGTGGGTGCCATATGGGCCCTTCTACACATTCAAATTCAAGTTGGATAGAGATCAGCTATGGAGTGGTCAGTTTCCAGCACTAACTTAAAAAACCAACGAAAAATAAGAAATGTTTTGTGTTTCAAGTCAAATTAAGTCCAAATCTCTAAGTCAGTCCTGAACTGTAAGTGGCCCTACAACTGGCAAACATCCTCCACCCCCACCAGGGTCTTCAGATATTTCTAGAGTCTTTCGGAGGGCCAAGCTTGGAGTTTGGATGCCCCCAAGTTTCTCCTGCCTTCAGCCATATGAGGCAAGGAACAAGCTAGGCAGAAGCTTCCCATTTCCATGAAATGGACATTAAGCCTAAACACCTCAACAGGTACTAAACCACACCAGAAGGAAGAGGTTATCCCCAAGGGGATAAAGGAAGACTGCCTTTTTGGACCCAGATTCATGGCATTTCCCCTGCCAGGTAAGTATTTTTGGACAGAAAGAACTAGAGCCCCACTCTGCAGCAGGCTGGCTCTTACAGCTAGGGTCACCCTAGCCCAGTGATGCCTACAGAGCAGAGATGGCTGCGCCACTTGCTAGGTCGCCACCTGCAAAGGACGTGGCCCCTCTCACTTAGAGGCGCAAGGGCCTAGTGCATTGTGGGATAGATGTAGCGTGTAGTAGCGGCCTGCACCCTCCCAGCAGTCACAACCCCCCTCCCCGCACCGATACGGGCGATTTATGCCCCGGCCCCGGCCGACCTGAGCGGTCGAAGGTGTCGTCGAAGACCACGCGGCAGGTGCGGCCGTTGTTGAGGATGCTCTTGGCCGCGCCCGGGTCGTAGCTGGCGAACCAGGGCGGCAGCGTGGGGTCGTGCGGCGCTTCCTCGCTGCGGATCTCCACCGGGGACTGCCGCTCGCCGCGGGCCACCGGGTACTGCTCGTGCCAG